TTTTTCTCACACAAAATCTTTAAGTGAGGGGAATACTAAATGATGCCTGAGAAATCCTTACATTATAATGAAGACACAGGAAAACATGGACTGTGTACCAAAAAGACAGGTTACAGCCAAGTTCTTACTACAGCCCACGACACTGGTGTGATCTGGGCACTCCCGACCTCCACCACCACCTCTTTCTGTGCTCATGTCAGCTCAGGGCCTTTGTACCTGCTGTTCCCTATCAGGGAAACTCTTGCCCCGGTAGTCACATGGTGTGCTCCCTCATTTTCCTCTGTGCTCAGCACCTATCCAGAGACCCCTTCTGGGAAGGGTGTAAAAAAGCAGCCCGACCCCCATCTCGCACTCTCCATGCCCCTTCTATCCCCCTCAGCCTGCTTCTTCTTTCTTTGCAGCGCTTGTCGTTGCCTTTCATCATCTACTTTTGTTTATTTGTTTTCTATCTCTTGCCACTGAAACATCAGTTACATGAGAAGAGCAGCTTTCTTGTGGGGGTGGGGGAGAGGGGTATTATATTCCCCAACAACTGCATCAACAAATAGATTAAAAATGAATCCGTGGCTGACACATGCTATGTGCTCAACAATAGTTCAATGAAGAAAAGGAAGATAGATGTCCTTTTCTAAACTCATAGTCACGAAAGCAAATGAGATAGACATCTCTGAAACAATAAATGGAATGTTCCTATTGAATTCCAGACACTCAGTCTCTTTATTGATTTTTTTTCCAGTGAATTGAATTGATCCCCAATAGATATAGGGGTAGCTATGAAGGAAGACCTCTTGGAAAGCCAATATGTAGCTCCACAGGGAAAGCCATCAGCGTGAGCAGCCAGATAGCCCCCAGGGAGCTCTAAACGTGAAGCCAACACACAATACAACAAGAGGAAGTTAAATTTATGTTTTCTAATTTCATGCCTTAAGAAAGCTTAAGTTTTCACTTCATGTGGGCTAAGTTTTTTGGTAATATCATTAAAATAGCCCAAGATATATCATTCACTAGATTGCTGCTGTTGTTGAAATCCAACCTGGGTCATATTTTGTGTTTTTTACAATGCCAAGAACATCTACAATTCCTGTTTGCCATCAGTATTTGAAATCATCAGATAAGTCTATCCTAGCTATTTAAAAAGTGATTTCCAAAACAAAAACAGAACAGGGAGAATGGTAATTTTGTTCAATGAAGCAGTTATTTCACACCTGGAAGACCCCTTAAAATCATCCAGACCAGTATATATTGTGTTGGGTTGGGCTGGGTTCTTTGGGGCCAGCTGGACCATTCCCCAAAAATAATCTTAAGAAAAGATCCAATGGGAAGTAGATGAAGTAGAGACCCCCCCCAATGATATGGGGTGATAAGCCAGAACCAGCCCCCCAGATTTAGGAGTCCCCAGGGGGAGCCCAGGGGGCTCTTCAGAGCACAACTAAAAACCACAGATTTAGTCCTTTGTCTCACAGATAAGGAAACGAAGCTCAGTGTGCAGTCACCCAGCCAGTTCCCAGTGGAGGTTCAAGTCTCCTGTACTAGGAGACATACTGTCTCGTTGACTCCTCCCTATAAAACAACATTTATCACCATCACATCCATTTTTGTAGATAAGCGAGCATTGCTTCCTCAAGGAGGCTTTTTCTGACCCCCCAGACAAACTTAAGTCTCCCATCTCTTCCTTTAACACCATGCCTCCTCTCCTTGAAAATCTCATCACATTTTAAATAATGTTTCCAATGCCTGTCCACCTACTTAGGTATAAACCTGTAGCGACAGAGACTGTGTCTCTCACCTGTCCCCAGAACCTAGAAGTTGGCCTGTAGAGAGAATAACTGTGGCCACTTGAGGAGAAGGATTGTGTTTGTGTCATATTTGTCTTTTAGCCCCAATACCTGGTATTATGCTTAGTTCAGGCCAGCAGCTCAATGATTGTCTGACCGCGATTGAATTGTGAAAATAAAACTACCTAGAAATCAGAAAACTCTCTCTAGCTTCATTCAGTCTTTTCTAGTGCTGGGTGGTCTTGAGCAATTGTCCTACCTTGTTTGTCCTTAGTTTTGTCTTCTAGAAAATATAGGAGTTAAATTCTGGGGTCTTCGAAAACTCTTCGGTCTCGAAAATTCTGTGATGCTGTTTCCTTCTGCTTGGAAACGTCCAGTGAAGGTGGTAGGCCAGAACTTGAATTAGTGAGATGACTATATATAAAAGAATGCTAATTCTAATGAAGAATTGGTGGTTAAGAGGGGATCATTCAAGTCACACGCATACAATGAGAAGTTGTTCTGCCATTTACACCTGGGTGGTTGGAGGCAAGTACTCATCCCCCCACGCCTCAGGTTCTTCCTTGCCTGAACAAAGGTGAGGACTGAATGAGATCACATAACTAAAGTATTTAGCTTGTGGCTGGGGACCTAATTAGGTAATAACAAGTGTTCATTGGCATTATCATCAAGATTATTCCAATGGAATGATTTCCATTCGAACGTATGTAAAAATAGCTTGGTGATACTGTCCATAAACTCACTGCTGTTCCCTCTTGTGTTTTAGGAAACACACCCGCCAAAGGAAACAAGGTAAGAGGAATCATTAAAATGCATTTGTTACCTACTCCTTATTTTAGAAGCATAGGAATGTGGATGATGTGAAGGCTTAGACATACCTTGAAAAATATCTCCTGGAAGGTTGGTTGGGATTTGTAATTTCTGTTTGTAAACCACAAAAATGTTAACCATTAGCTCTGCTCAAAGAATAGTGAATTTAATTTCTGATTCTCCTTCCTTTTGCAGACTCCTTTACCACCTCCTCGGTAAGACACTTAAAATAGCATTTTGTTTTGCTCTATACTTAATTAGTTCCCGAATTTGAAAAGCTCCAGAATTTTTTTAAAAAGAGAAACAAAAATTTGACATTGAAAAATAAATCTGAGTTGGCCAATGAACATGATTAAACAAGACTTCATTCATCCATTTAATCATTCATTAATTCACAGTCGTCTATTCAATACACCTTGACAAATCATTTTATGATCACTGCATTACTTCCCTGTTCCTTTCTGTTTCTCTCCCTTCTTGTGGTATAGAAATCTTCCAGAAAGGACTGGCACTGGGAAATTCTGCCAAGCAACTTATAGTATAAAGTATACATTTATATAGGAACATATACAAATATTATGTTTATATATATGGAGGTGAGAGCAACAGACTTGATTTCTTAGACTGAGTTGGCCGCTCTGGTTCTCCTGTGGCCCTGTGAGCACTTCCGTCACAGCACTCATTACCTTCGCTGGTAATCTTCTCACCACTTCTCTCACTGCCCTCCTAGAGGGAAGTATATTTGAGCCAAGGACTTCATCTTTTTCCTCTCTGCATCTCCAGTGTCTACCAATCAATAGTGCCTGACACACTTTACAAATGATTGAATGGTGAAGAAGTGGGTGAGTGAGGCATTCACTGACTTTCAAACATTTTCCTGTTTCTTGGGGGAGTATAAACAGCTCAGGTCTTCTAGTCTGGACAAATGAAGGCTGTTGTCATATTTTGTCCCCAGGCACTCCTAAAACTCAAAATGGGGCGCACTGAGGAACCAAAGACATCCTGTAGAAAATTACATCAGAAAACAACCAAACCAGAGAGAGAGCATGTTGCAAGGAAGTAGATTTAAGCGCCTTAGAAGCATGACTTCCCTGCCATTCGAGGCCCCTGGAAACGCATCAGGCAGGCCTGCAAAGTATCCACACCCGGAAACTGACGTTTCCAACCCAAAGCTGGGGACACTGAGGGGCAGGGCTTTGTGAATTCTAGGTCTAAGGGGCCCCCTGTGTGGCAAACCTTCTCAGTGTCCCCCTGTGACTCTTCCACAGGCCACCTGGCTCTGTTCCAAAGAAGTACCAGCCCTTACCCGTTCCAAAGAAGTACCAGCCCTTACCCGCCGAGCCGGAGAGCAGCAGGACGCCCTCCCCTCAGAGGCACACCTTCCCCGAAGTCCAGAGAGGGGCCAGGTGAGAGATTTGTTGTTGCTGCTCGTGAAATGACCAGGGAGATTAGTGGGCTGGGGAGGGTAACAAGGACACCCCAACCAGTCACCTCTCAGAACAGGCTCCCTAATGGGACCTTGAGGGAAAATAATCTTCGAAACGTGTAGTTTGATTCTTTCTGGAAAATACAGGTTCTTTGTAATAAAATGAGTTATTGAAAGAATGGATCACTTGAGACCTGAATTAGTTACGAAAGAAAATATTAAATGACAGAATGGAATCTAGACTTTCTATGTAAAAGCCAAAAAGTAGTTCAGATGATTCAAGGGCTAATATCGGTCCCCAGCTTCCCATCACCCAGGCTGGAGGACTATAACCACGCATGAAAACCCATTTGTCAAAAAACATGATTGCCTTTGTGATCAATAAATATTACAAAGCCAACCCTCTGGGATTCAGTGCTGATGACGGAACCCCACCCCCAAACGTACGGGCATTTGGCAGCCAGCTCCAATCACAAAATGTGACAAACATGAATGCGCATATTTTCCCAAGAGAGTTTGAATTACCTTATTTTAGAAGTCAGAACAAAGATTAAAGTGTTCCTCTTGTTACTATTACAAAGAATGAATGATGCTTTCTTACTGCAAGCTTCATTGAATCAGCGGGTTGGGGCACAAGGCATTATTGAGTACAGTAAGTCCCCGACTTACGAACGAGTTCCGTTCCGGGAGAATGTTGGTAAGTTGGATTCGTTCGTAAGTCCGACGAAGTGAGTCTTTGCACTTCCTAGCAGTCCCCTCCACATCACCACTGCTTTTCCTCTTGCTTCTGGACACCCTGGGCCCTGACTGAGCACTGCACTACTGTACACTATCGCACTGTACAGTGAGCACACAGCAACACAACTGTGACAATGTCTGGCAGACACGTGAGCTACTTCCACGATTTGTTCGCATCTACGAATGTTCGTAATGCAAGGACCATTCGTATCTGTGAAAGCTCGCAACTCAAATGTTGGTAAGTCAGGGACTTACTGTAATCCTTTCTCGTGGATACAAAAACTCAGCATATCAGGCATATTTTGAGCTTCTATGGAAAACCCAGTCATCACTGATTCTGATGGGCGATGTTAGAATGCCATTTCTCTCAATTTTCTGGTGAATGTCTCTCCATCTTTCCGATCTTCACAGACCCACACAAACATCCGTCTTCCAGGCTGCAACCCCGACCCCCTCTCCTCCCAGCCATGTCTCCATTCAAAGTGCTCTGCTTGAAGTTTAGGTTCTCCTTATGAACTGGCAGACTTGGGGCAGGGGTCTTCACCTGTGGTGACTTTGTCCCCAGGGGAGTTAGCAGCATCTGGAGACATTCTGGCTGTGACAGCTTGGGGGGTGGAGATGCCACCGGCTTCTAGTGGGAAGAGGCCAGGGATGCTGCTAACCATCTGGCCCCACAACAAAGACTAATCGGGCCTAAAAGATCAATAGTGCAAAGGTTGCGAAGCTCAGCCTCCAGGCAAATTACTAACCTTCTCTGAGCCCACGGTTTTTCTCAGTTTAGAGTAAGGATGATAATAATAATAGCTACCTCCCACCTCATGGGCTAGAGTGAGAATTAAATAAGGTGATTCCTGTCAAGCACTTAACAGTGCCTGCCCAGCATGTGTTTCTAACCAACATTTATTGCATTTTTATTACCTTGAGCCCTTTTCTCTTGGTGCCTTTCCCATCTCATATAATATGTTTGAATACAAGTCTGCCTCTTCCCCCCCAAAAAGGAACTGTCTCATGTCAGCGTGCGTACTGCCTGGCACATAGTAGAAGTTAAATAGGATAAATACGACTTTCCTTCTGCAGCTGCCGAAGGGCCTGAGCCAGACTAGGAGTCACCAAATTTGCTCTGCTTTGATTGCGTAGACCAAGAGGCTAAGAGACACCAACCATGTAGGCTACCAAATCCATGAAGTGGTGTCATCTAAACTGGAAATGTAAAATGCATCACCTGGGAAACTCCTGAGCACATAGGCTAATAGGTTAAGAACAGATCAAAACTCAGAGAAGTGAGGAGGTAGGAAATTAGGAAGAGTAAGATATCCGAGGGGAAGAGCTTGTTTAGTGTGGAGGGAAGAGGGGGTTTACCTGTGTGTGTCTTCATGCTGGAAAGAACGGGATTTGGGGAGCCAGCAGACCAGGGGCTGGGTCCCATTTGAGCTGCTTCTGGCTGGATCATTTCAGAAAGCCCTTCAACGCTTCTGAGACCCGCTTTCCTTATTTGTAAAAAGAAAATAACCATCCCCGTGTGACAGAATGGGGTGAGGAGGTATGTGATTTTTTTCTCAAGTGCCCAGGAAAGAAAGAAAAACACTTAAACCACATCTCCCACCTATACCCCTCAGAATTAGGCACCCGTCACCCTATTTTTTCTGGAAATAGAGGCTGTAAATGCTCGTTCAATGTTTCTCATCCTGGTTTTACATTAAAACAATTAGGAAAGCTTTTGAGAGCGTACTCTGCCCCAGGATCTGTTTTCGTGGCTCTGAGAGGTGAGAAGGGCATCCCTGTTTTTAAAGCTCCCCAGGTCAAGCGGGAACTGGGTTCTAGGAATGTAACTGCCACTAACGCTCCAAAGGTCCCCGGGCCTTATCCACCTGTGCGGACCTTCTGAGGTCTGAAACAATGCTTCCCTGATCTCCAAGTCAGTCCCCGCTGCCATCTGGGTCACGCCATCTATTGTGCAGCTATCTAGTAGTGGTTTGGGAATCTTCAGAAGTTCGCATTTTGTATTTCTAGGGCTTCTGCCATTATAGTTTACTTTTGTTTAATCATTTTTAGCTGTGATGAGAACCGGGCTGGATCTCTTCACTATAAACACCTCCAGAGGGTAATTACATTTCTCCTCATTGAATCCTCCCAGTGGCCAACACAGTATGGTTTTCTAAGGCCTGGGAGGGAAAAGTGCCCAGGACAGTAGATGGCACACAGTAGGTACCTGGTAAAAACCACTCCCCTACCCATTGGGCCCACATCACTAAGATTCCTAGAAGTTAGATGACTTGGTCTGAGTTGTAGGGCTGGTATCCGACTACTGAGAGGGCAAAAATATGAAGCCCCTGTGAATGCCACCATGAAGGAGAGAGTTTTGCTTTAAGGAGAGAGCTTTCAAATTCACTTCTAGTTGGGCCCCAGACAGGTAGTCGGATGGTCATCACGGCTGACTCACATCACATGTGAACAACCACATGAGGCAGTTGCTCGGTTTACTTTCTCTGAAAACAGAGAGGCCTGAGCCACTTCCACCAAAGCAGGGCGAATCGTGCCCACTCCCTTCCTAACAGCTGCTCCACGGGCACTGTGAGATGAACTGCTCCCCCAGTCACCTGAGTCCGTGGGAGGCAGCCCACAGCTGCAGCTGCAGCCCTTTACAATGGGCTCTGCGCACCCTGGGTGGTGCTGTTTCCAGCTATTGTGTTTCAGCTCCATTTGCATCCGCCAGCTCTGTCATTCTTCTCTCTTTTAAAGCTAAGTCTTGGCTTTACAAAACAATTGCTGAGTCGCAGCACTTCAGATAAGGAAAATGCCATTTAGATCATTCATTGACAACTCAAAGCTTGAAGAGGACTTTGAAGCTGGAACTGCTGGTTAGACATTCTCAACCATTAGAGACCATTATTGTGATTTTTGTAATATCCATGGATTTGATATTTTTTGCTCAGCTCCTTTTTTTTCACTTAAGTAAATTGATGTAAAAGGGAAACAAACATATCACCAGAAGTTGCTGCAACACAGATTCCCACCAAAACTTTGAGCCTGGGGACTTTTCTCCCTGTTCAAAGGAAGAGAAATAAATGTTAGGTTAGCTAGCATGCACAAACCACCACACTGCGACTCTCCAGGACATGATTAGAAAGAGGGGGGTGGTAGGTGAGGGTAAAAGAAATCAAATATATGGCGATGGAAGGAGAACTGGCTGAGTGGTGAACACACACTGTGATAGATGGGTGATGTATTACAGAATTGTACACCTGAAACCTATGTAACTTTACTAACCATTGTTACCCCAATAAACTTGAATTTAAAAAAAATAGCGATTAAAAAGGAAATAACTGTCCAACTATATATCCATTCTAGCTTCAGTACCACGGCACATGGGCCAGATAAGGTCACCCTGGGTAACCCTAAGAGTAACTGACATTTGCTGAGCTCACTTTGGGGTCCTTTGGGTGCATTTAACTCAGTCCCACAACAATACCGCAGGAAGCAGCTTTATAATCCGCAGTTAACTGGTGAGGACACAGGAGTACAGATAGCTCACTGCACCTCCGTATCTCCTTTCTGCTCCAGCAAACTCGGTGGCCCACGGTGCAGGTTTCAGCCAAATGTAATTCAAATAACGCGCCTCATAGTTAATAAACAAAACAGCCATTGGCCTCGCCATGGTTTCCCCTTTTCAACCATGTCAGTTAAAGCCATCTCAGTGGCAAAAATGTGTTCTGATGATTTGGGAAGTGAAAAAAGAATCTTTTTAGATAGCGAGAAACCATGGTCCTTTAAGAGAGGATGTATGGATTGTGAAGACACATACAAAGTCTCATTTATGAATGGAAACTATTGATTTTAGAGCGTGAACTTTATTATTATTACTATAGTTTTCCAAGATGCTGCCTTTGGGGGACACGGGGCGAAGGACACGCGGGCTCTCTCTGATCTATTATTTCTTATATCCTCCTGAGACCTGCACTTAGCTCAGAATAAAAAGTTCATTCTAAAAGCAAGCGTGACTGGTGAAAGTGTTCCGCAGATGCAAGGTATTATTTCATCCCAAGTAGCTTTCACATATATTTTTTCATGAGAACCTTAACCGACCCTCTTTGTTCCCATCTGGATTTACCCATTTCCCAGATGGGAAAACTGAGCTTCAGGGAGGACATGTCACCTATCGAGGCGGACGGAGCTCAAGGATACTACAGCAAGGATTCAGGTCCAATTCACTTAAAGCTGAGCCAAGAACTAAGGGGAGGTCCAGAAGGGCTATTTTTATAGTTAAAAGTATCACCCTGAAATACACACTGAGCACCAATTATGCTCAGGAAAGGACGTGGGAAAGCTTCTCCTGTGTAGTCAGCGACTGCGATTTGTTTGTCATCTCCAGAGCCAGAAACATGGGAAAATTTAAGCATTGAAAGACGCTCTTCCAGAGGCAATGTGATGCTATTGGGGGGAGGCCGGAGTCCCGCCCTGCTCTGCCATTCTCTGACTTTGTGCAGTCCCTCTGTCTTCATATTAAGAGACCCCCCCTCCCCGAAAGCCAGGCGCCTTCACTTTATAGGCAAGGGAGCAACTAATGTGTGGGGTCTTATAGACATGGCCGTTCCAATGCCTACAGATGGTTGTTGTGCACATAAGGGACTTCTTACAATTACTCGGGTTCACTTAACAACCCAATATTTAAAGTCACCAGTTACACAGCCTCGCTTTCCTGAAGCCACCCATTGCCATTTAGGAAGTGTATTGCTCTACTTCTATTATAGATCTAGAGATTTTATCTAAACAGAAAGACCATCGCTCGCTCGTCACATTAGAGAGGTTAAGAAATCTTAGACAATAAGACTTATTTACAAACTCAGTTAAATCTCCTCAAATATTTGAAATGCCTTGATAACATTTCACTGGCCTAATTTTTAGGTATTTCTAATGCTGACAGAGCAGGTTTAAGCCCTAACAAGCGAAACGTTCTTTAACAATTAACTTTTGTAAATCTAATAAAGTAAATGCATAAATACAGAAAAATTCAAGTGCTCTTAAACAATTCAAACTCTTTGTAAGTGGTGTCAAATGTAGCTTGACTCTTGAAACTTAAAATCACAAGACTAAAGTCAATTATAGACTTTAAATTGAAGCCACATGGCCCCTGTGTCCTAAGATGCCAGAGACTCTTATAAACACGGAAAACACTGAGATTAGCCTCAATTTAACCCCCAAGTAATTACTACTACGGGTGTTTGTTCAACTTTAATACTTCTAATCATATTGCTTTTACCTTCTCACTTGTACCATTAAAAGGGGGAGGCAGGGTGGAGACATGCTATCTCAGGTGGGCTGATGACACAGGTTAAAAACGTGGGGCCCCAGCATGGACGCCTGTTAGAGAAATAGACCAGACACAGCATCTGAAGGCTGTATGCTCCTGGATCATTTTACCTGATACAGACGGAACTTTTTAACTAGATCAACAGCCTTCACCTGAGATTGGTGCCACAGCCTTAATCTCCCCGTACTTTGGTTCCAGGCTTTCTCCTGACAGACAGAATGTGTGTGTCACTCCCACTCCCTTCCTAGCATCGTCATCTGACTTTGAGCACATTCTAACCACAGTGCCCTCTGAACGCCCAACGTTTTCATTCTTTTCTTTAGCGATTCTAACAATAACCCTCTAAGACGAATACCCTTGTGGCCACTTGGCAGATGAGAAAAATGAGGGTTAGAGACACTGATTGATTTAATTGTCAATATAAATGAAAGGTTTGGAGTTTCTACTGAGACCTGTCTGCCCAGTGTCCATATTAGCAGAGTCTCAGTGGAATTCTTTCCCGACCACTCAGTTTTGTGTTTTTCCTGTCTCAAATCTGTCATTATTAGCATCCTTTCTTTCACACATGCCTTCTTAGGATCCCACTGTACCTGCCAACTTCACATTTAAAACACTTTGCACTTCTGCAATGCAAAAAACTAAGAGCTTTAAAATCAAGGTAATGACAGCAGGTCTGTCTGTGCTAGTAAAAAGTCAGGAGAAATGGTATTATTTAAATTCTCCTAAAATGAGAAGTTTATTCATGTCCTTTCTGTCACCACCTTTTACATTGGCTCATAACTTCTTTTTTTCTCATAATAGGAAATTATGAGAAAAATAACCTGGCTTTCGTTTTATAGAATGGTAATAAACATCACACTGGACCACGGGCTGTTAATTTGGCAATAAAAATGTAATCAACGGTTTTGAAGGGCTCAGAATGATTTTATTTTGATCATTATGAACTGTACTTTATGTAACTCTATTTTTTTTTTTCCCTGCAGACAGATCAGCTTAAAGAACTTGAGTGAGGTTAGTAGAAACTTTGTCCTGGGGAAAAAAAGAAGGGAATTTTTTGTGCATTAAGTGTCTGCAATGGACAAAATACTATTTTCTTCATATACTCTATCCCACTTAATTATCGTAATAGCTATACTCAACATGTATTATTAGCTGTGTTTTAAAGGTGGGAAAACTAAAGCAAAACAAGTTAAGATCCAGGTTTTAAATCAAGATCCTATTGCGCCACCATATTCAGTGTTTACTGGTACGATGGAGAGAAAAGCACACCCAGTTCCCATGGAAGACAAAGGGTCCACCCACGGCTCGCAATCCCCAGCATCACAGAAATAAAATGTGGGGACTTGTACTACACCTTGCTATTTGTTCTTCACAAGAAAGACAGGACTGCAAAGTAGAAGAAATAGAAGACACAGAGTCACACAGGCCTGGATTTGAATCCCGTTCTGGCATCTACGACTGCTGTGAACTTTGGCACATGTCCCCACCCCCCACTTCCACCCCTGTTTCTGTTTCCCCCACCATGAAACAGAGATGGCTACACTCAACTTTGCAAAGTCGTGATAAAGTCAAAGTCAGTCAAAGTAAACACCTAAATGGCCCGGTGAGAAGTAGTGGCTCTATAAATGGCATGAAAGTCAGGTGAGGCGGAGGTATCTCAGAGCCCCCTTAGATGTTTACTTCCTTAAGCCCCCAAAAGGAAGCTCCTTAAGATGGTGAGTCTACCGTGACTGGTAGAAAGTCTCTGCCCGGCCACATGAGTGTCCTCACCTCACTCCCACTGGCCTCCTAAGGGATTTGGCTCTTATCTTAGAATTTGACTGATGCTCTTACATCTAGACTGCAGAACTTGATTTCTTTTCTTCCTTTCTTTTGTTTATTTAATGGCATTATGACAATGTTAAAATCAAGGTCACGTTTCTAGCTTGTGACTCAAACAAGACATTCGTTACCTCTACTCGCTAAGACAGTCGTGTCAAGGAGACAAACACGGAGCTGCAGAAGGAAGGGCCCGCGCTGGTTCTTTCGGGGCTCACCAGCTCACCCTGTCCTGTGTGCGGAACTTCCAGATGCCATCAAGGAGGAGGAAGTTGGGGGTGGTACCCACACATCCAGAGGGACCACCCCTTTCTTCCTAACGGTCCAATTTATGTGTCCCAACTAGCAGATGGCCGCCACTCAAGGTGACCTATAGTCCGTAACTCATTGGTCAGTCTGAAAGGACAATAGCCCCCCGACCCCACACACCCCCAGTCACTAACAAACAAGAGGAAGATGAGGAGCTCCGCCTCGGATAGCAGGGGTCATGCAGGACTGCTGGTTTTCCTGGCAGCGTTGGTTGGCATTTGCTAGAAGCTGATATCATCTAAAGAACAGCTAGTGGAAAAACACATTCTTCCTCATCTTTTGCCAAGATATTTCCCCATTGTTTGTCTGGCCTAAGAGTCAAGGCCGTTTCTCTATCACACAAGCTCATCTCATAGGACAAATGCCATGCTTGTCTATGTGACCAGAATCTTGCGGATCAAAACCCAATGATGGTCTAATCCAGCCCAACTCAAATGCACAAAGCGCTTTATAGTTTTCAGAGAAAGTAAGAGACTCCTGGTCTCATTTAATTCTCACAAAACCCTAAGAGGAAAAGTAGCCTCAGAGAGGTGCAGAGACTTGCCCAAGTTCCCACAGCTGGCAGACTATTGGGCCAGCCCCCGGAAGCCCAAAGCCCACCCAGGTCTTCTCCCCAGCCTGTGACTCCTCGCCTTAGCAAATGCAGAGATGTCACTGAGTTTAAAAGAAAGAAAAAGAAACAAAAGAAGGAGGAGGAAGAAGAGAGGATGGGAGGGAAGAAAGGAGGGGAATAATAATGAAAGCGTTACTATTGAGACTTAAATATGTTTATTTTCTAACAACAACCAAAAAAAGTTCAAGTAGAGACACTAGAGAGACTTCACTTTTTAATCTCATTTGATTTTAAATTCAGAGCCCTCAAGCAAAAAGTTGACTGGGTCTCAATTCAATAAAACTGCTCCCGCAGGCGGTTGGCATCTCAGCCTTACACCCGGCTTCCCCGCTTTGAGGAGCCTGGGAATCACAACCTCATCTGATTGAGCACTTTGAACTGCCAGGTTCAAAGTCTGGGGGAAGACAGTGGGGAGACTTTCAAACCGCTCATTAGCATGGATTCATTACCCTTTCACTTAGCCTATAGATCTGCCTTGATTTTCTGTCCACGATGAAATATATGCCCTCCTTCCAGAACCCTGGGGGATGGCACGGTCTTTGAAATCACAGGGCTTGTCTGCTGGCTCGCTTCAGATAAGACTTATGATGCCTTTCTAAGCTAGTTGTTGCTAAAGGTTCCTGGCCTGTAAAGTGAATACCAGTCGGGAGACCTGGGCTCTAGAACCGGCTTAGCCGCAAGATAACAGCGGGCATCTGGGTAAATGGTACCGCCTTTCTGGGTCTCATCGGCAGACCTCTGGCTTTCATGTTTCATGGACGTCAAACCCTTCTGAAAATTTGGTGAAAGGTATAATAACCCTTGCTAACACATACAAATATATGCACATATTTATAGAAAAAAAATTTTAGTTTTTCATTTCAAAAGGTTCATGGACCCCACTAGGCCATCCAAGGACCCCTTCCATCCCCCAAGTTAAGAAGCTCATGTCTAAATGATACCTGAGGTCCTCCCCAGCTGCATGAAATGGACTTTAGAAAACGATTTACAGTTAGGTAAACACTTTGGCAAACATTGTTCCTCTTGTAAGGCTTTTGCTTCTTCAGGAGCAGAGAAGGGCCCAAAGATACAAGTCCAGTAACCACACAGATTTTCATAATGCAGGATGATTGGGAATTCTACCACCGTTGAGGACAGGAGGAGAAACGGAATGTCTGGAAAGATAAATGGCTACATTTAAAAAGAATAATGTGAATATTTTAATGCTCATTTTTTTTAAACAAAGAAAATTAACCATAACCTTGTCACTTAAACACCTCTATTAATTTTGTCATCTCTCTTCAACTCCCTTGTTATACACACACACACCTGCAAGTAAATATGTCATAAGCCACATTTTTATCCTGAACTTTTTATGTAACATTGAGGCATACGTATGAGAATCTTATTCCATACTCCACATAAATACTTACATTTATAATATTATAACAAGCATCTGAATATAGCACCAGAATTTGCTTAACGGCTCCCTCTTGGATGGGCATGGAAACTGTTTCCAGTATTTCGACACTATAACTAGGGGTATACTGAACACCTTTGTACATGGAATTTGGTCCAGATATTAGGTTGCTTTCTTAGAAGAAGTCTCATCAATGGAATTACTGGGTTAAGAAGAGTATTTCCAAGGCCCTTGGCAGCTCTGGTTAAATTGCTTCCCAAGGAGTCAAAGCAACTTAGAGGCCCCTCAGTAGACGGTATGCTTGCCTGGGACATACATCACACAGAGTATAAAATTTTTATTTTTGCTTAGTCTTTAGTTGTAGTCTGTATAGGTTTTTTAAATCTCTATACTAACAATAATTTTATCCCACTTCTACTAACCAGTTGCTCTGAAAACACACATAATATAATGTAAAGTTCTCTATCACCGATAGTCATTCAACAGCTCTTTTTTTCTTTTTTTTTTTTTTTTCTTTTTATACAGGTCCTTGGAACAGAGAAAGGTGAACTGTTTACATTTGTTTTCATACCCTGATACCATTAGGTTAAATGCTGTTTCCAGATTTACAGTGTTAATCATCTGTTGAAAGGATTGATGTTTTGGGTCTGGGGTGTGTGTGTGTGTGTGTGTGTGTGTGTGTGTGTGTGTGTGTGTGAGAGAGAGAGAGAGAGAGAGAGAGAGAGAGAGAGAGAGAGAAATCCAGATGGACCCAGGCCCTCATAGTCTGTTCAAGAACCCTCCAGTCTAAATAGAGTGATTTAAGTTGGGGCTGGACTAGTGGTCTGTCTTCAGCCACGGGCTCCTGACAAGGAGGTTCACTGTCCCACTGTCACCCCTGCCACTTTGGGAAGACGCTGTTCCACTGCTTGAGAGAGGCTCTTACTCTCTCCCTCTTTGAGGTCACCCATGCACACACACACACACAAACACACACACACACCCTCATTTGAGCACATGCACACGTGTGTGTGCACACACCAGGGGTGTCATCGCTGTGGAAGCATGCAACCCAACACTTGCTAGCTGTCAGGATGCTACACAGGTAAGAACTTCCCGCCTCCTTGGACATACTGTTCACCATTCACTTAGAAGGATGAATTATGACCAGAGCTAAGGGGCCTGAGCCATGGCCCAAAGTGTTAACACAAACAGCATGCTTCAAGAAAGCAGCAGAGGCCTCCACCCACTCACTGTGTGATTTGGGCCAAGTTCCTTGCCTCTGTGGGTCCCAAGCATGCTCTTCTTTATATTGAAGAAGTTAGACTGGAGCAAGTCCTCATCTGGGTTTGTAGATTCCCAAGGACCCCTGATGGAGGAGTAGGGGTCTGTCGGCAATTCTGAGTCAATTCAAAACCTAAAGGAAACTGTGGCCTTTTCCACAACAGAGCCCAGCATCCTAATTGAAATGTCCAGGTGTAGCTGTATCGGGTTCAATGATTATCACTGTGACATTGTCTAGCTCACGCGGGGCAGGTGCTCTGGGTGGCTGGCTGTTGGTGACGTGAAGTACTTTTAAAGGCTGGATGACTAACGAACCAGTCACTGGCTCCATCACATTTCAAGTAATCACAGTCCTTCAATCACAGGTGTCCATTTTGTAATCAACCTTGGACAGAACAAAGAGTAACAACGAAATTAGGACACGTGGGTGTCCATATGCTTCCTGAACTTGATTACTTACAACGGCAACCAGGAGAGTGTTTTATGGGATTTCATGTCGTAGTAGTATTGTGTGCCCTTGGTAATTCTGGATGGTAATTCTGGTTAAAATCTATTCGTGATGAAAAGGAAAAGAAAAAGTGGTGACACCAGTGGCATATGTAATGACGAAATAACTCCAGTTCAGATGGTTAGCAGAATTTCTCGAAACTCGAAAGATCAAAGGGGAAACATGGAGAAAACGCGTGCCTGGTGGTAACCGGGGGAGACTATTGGTCTACATCAGGCTCCGGAGGTCCTCCTGCCCTATCACAGGAGGGAGATGAGAATTTGGGGGTGTGGGCCAGCACTGGGCATCCCCATGCCTTACACCACCCGGAACAGTTCTTAGGCTTAACGTTTTTGTTGATGCTTCTAGGGAACTTTTCATTTGAACGTAGAATCCCTCTTCAGTCCGCTTCCCCCGCAGGCCTTTCCATACCAAATATCTTCCAATGTAATGTATATTTCAGCAAGTTCATGAGTTCCAGATTCAATACTTTTGATAATAGTATTGAATATTCAATAATCGAGGCAATTTTTATAGCCTTGATGAGAAGCCACTCCCAGGAACCAGGGTCGTTGCAGCATCTGTGGGTTACGGTTTGTGCCAACCACCAAGAGCCCACTCCTCATCATCAGAGATTATTGGATAAAATAATAGTAGTTCCAATAGGCCTCTAATAGTCCCCAATCATTTTCCTTCTGCAACCTAATTATGTGACTGCCTTCCTTACACAGTGCCGCATCACCCCATGAAACCCAAAGCACCTCACCTGTCAAAAAATCAGAGTGCTCCCGAGATCCCTCTCGCCATTGCCAGGTAAGGAGCCAGGAACCCCTTACGGGGTCCCAGCTTTGGGGTCAGGCCATGAGTTGTGCTGGATGACTTGCCAAGACTTAGTAGTTGTTTGATGTGGTTTGGCTTCTCTTGTGTATTTGTTTAATGTATTGAACGTCTCTTGATGTTTCTTCCTCTATTAACTGGCTTCTTCTTCTGAGTCCCCTTTTTGGACTTTTCCCCAAGCTGACCTCTAAATGCTGATATTCCTCAGGGTCCATCTGAGGTCCTGTTTTCCATCACTAAGAGCCTAGGCAATTTCATCCATCCCCACAGTGCTGAATGTCAACCCTGTGTTGATAATTCCTAAATCTCTACCCTCTGCCCCAACCACCCTTCTTAGCTCCAGACCTATACATCCAGTGACCCAATGGGCAGCCTTCCTTAAACAGGTGACAAGCATCTCAAACTCATAATGTTAGAAATTGAGCTCTTCATCTCTACTTTCATTCCCAAACCATCGCGACCCTCCTACAAACTGCCTGACCTCAGTAGATGATAAGCTCTCATTGCCATCTTCACTCTTCCCGTCCAATCTATTTCCAACTCCCCAAATTCTACCTCTAAAACATGCCTTGAGTCTATCCATGTCTCCTCATTTCCCCAGCTCCCAACATAGTCCAGCCACCATCAACCTTGCCTGGACTATTGCAATAGTTAATGCTTATCTCCATAGCCTACTTTCCACCCAGAAGGAACTACATTCTTGTCTCTTGAGAATAAGCCATGTTTCCGCGCCTCTGAGCTTTTCTACCTGCAGTTCCCTCTGCCTGGAACATACCCTCACTCCTCACCCATCTCCTCGTCATCTTTCAGAAGTCAGCTCTGTTAGCGTGTCTCCCAGGAAGCCGTCCCTGAGATCCAAAGCAATTTGTCTGGGTTAGACCAAAGGAACTTGTGCTGTGTGCACACCTGTCATGGCATTTCCCCCACATTGTGCTTATGATGCAATGATGTCTTCTCATCATAAATGAAGTGCTTTAGGGCACAGCCCATGTCTTATTCATTTTGTATTTCCCCCAACATACCACATATTCAGTAAGTTTTCAACACGTTTACAAAATGAAAGAATCATCATTTTTTGTTTGTTTTGTTTTTGCTTTTGCTTCTGTCCTTATAAAGTCTATACTTGAGACCTAGAATATCCTCAGAGGATATTTCTAGTCTCTTGACTTTTTCTAAAAATCCCAAAAAATTAGGGTAGGGAAATTTTGCTATTTGTGATTTTTTTTTCCCCATTTATCAGAATTGCACCCTGGCTGCTGGTAAAGGAATCCTGGTTTTCACAGAGTCAAAGTCTTGAATGTCAGTAGAAGTCTGACAAGGGAGGAGAACACAGTGTGCCGGTTGAATGACCTATGAGCATTTTGATCTACAAAGCAAGCCATCAAACCCCAGGCCTCTGTGGAGATAACAAAAACCAGATAAATACTTGGTTGATTTCACCATGCTAGAAAAGGATTAGATGTCATTTCATTAACCCAGAGGCTTTAGTCAATAGCACAATCCATGTAACTAGATTTAACTGTGGTAGCACCTACAGCTTATGACAGTGCTGACCACAATACAACATGAACCAGCAATTACAGCTAATGTGAAATAAAGCTAAACATTAAGTCAAGTGCTAACTAGAGTCCTCGGTAGACAGTCTTGGTAACATCAATATTGTGCTTAGAAATGCATATTGGTGTTTTTAATTGTCTTTTATTTTTTATAATCCCCTTTTCTTTATGGGTTTTCTCTTAATAATCCACACAGTTTTCGCACCTAGCTCACATTTCAAGAAGAAGTAAATTACTTTCTATATGCTTCTTCTTGCTATGGCTGACTCTCCTTCAATGGGTAAATAAATACAGCCACATATTTTCTAAGTTACCATAGTTACAAGGCAAGTGTAAATTCATGGCTTCCAAAAGTAAAAAATCATGGTATTTGAAGTGACCTTGAAAGAGCTTACATGGGTCAGTTTGTTCCATAGCTAATGTTTGTCTGTCTTGAGAGAGGAGAGAAAGACCAAACTCCTCTCTCCTTAGGACACAGATGCTTCTAGCTCATCCAGTAAAATATAAAGTGCTTTGTAGATGTGACCTCAGCTGTTACCACTGACCTTGGCTTTGAGTGGAATTACACCCAGCATGGGAAATACTAACATTCTTTCAATTCTAACCTTTTCTTTAGCTCTTCACTCATGATGAGCACCCACAGCATGCGAAACAGAGGTAAGAACACGTTACCTAAGAATTATAAAATGAACAGGTAAGTTACCATAGTTACAAGGCAAGTCATCACACTGCAGTGTTCCTACACTGTGACTTACTTAGCTTTTGTGAACCTCAGAGTTACTGGGCTGATGTGTATAAATGTAATTAGCTTGTTTTCACTGACAGCTAACATTTCATTGGGCTAATACAATTTTTATCCATAATTAAATATGATCACTTAGGTGGTTTCCAGTTTTTTCCCTCTTATAGCATTATATTGTAAATATTGTACATGTCTTCCCATACACATAATATGTACATGTTTTCCCATGTACAGGATATGATAAGTTCTCTTTTTAAGAATAAAATTTCTAGGTCTAAGGATATCCCTTTCTTCGGTTGTACTTGATGGATTTCCCAAAGTGGCATATCATTTAGTTTCACCAACAGCTTATGAGTTCCCCCTTGTTCTAGCCTCTTCAACAGTTGTTTTTGACAAAACTTAGTTTTTGACAACCCATTGGGTATAAAATAGCTTTCTCGTAAGATAATTCTCAGAAATGGAGAAAATAAAACTGATCTGTCTTACTGATTATAAAGAAAAAAAGCAAAAGGATATCCTGTCTGTAGAGATAGCAAGAGCAGCATATAAATATCGTGTTAGACGACTATTGGGGTTCAGTTTTGATGTTATTAGTATTGTTTTGCCCAAACCACATCTGTCATGTTCTTTTGTCTTTCTTTCCTCTCTCTCCATGCTATGGAGACCCTGTGTAGGTCTAATCCAACCTCTCTCTGCTGAGCCAAAAGAGAGCTGAGGGCTGGAGGGAGCGGGCCGCATGGGGTACAGTGGAAAGGCTGAGGGCTCTACTGACCTTGGTTCCAATTCTGCCTCTCTCCCTACAATAGGGTCAGCTTGAGCAATTCTTAGAGCTTCAACCTCCCCCATCCATAAAATTCAAATAACAATCGTAACTCTCAGGGTTGATACTCACACAGCCCTCTGCCAGACATATAGTAGACAACTGACACATTTTAATATTTTTCCCTTTCCTCTGCATTCCCTTTCCTTAGCTAGGGATTCCCTACCCATTGAACCCATCAGGCCAACTGTTTCCTCCCTGGCTTCTACCATGTCCTTATTTCATTTCTGCCCTACACCATCTGGGCCTTGGGTTGGAAAACTCATTTCCCCTGATGTACACATTGCCAATAAGAGCTTCCCAAGAGAGGGCTACTTTTTTAAAGGAAGGTGGCTGTGATTAATGGGATGAGCTCAATCCGTGAGAATCAAATGACAGGAACAGTCATCCTGGAAGCCAGATCTCAGCGTAGGAGATGAAAAGGCTTGGAGTATCAGATGGGAGGACCAGGGGCCAAACAGGCCCAGGAAGGGCATTATTAATGGGGTTTTAAGAATACGTTGCAAGGATGGGGAAACAGAATCATAGCTTAAAGAGGAATCCAGAGTCTTAACTTGAAAGACAAAATCTTGCACAAATAAATAATTAAGTGCAATGGAAGAATGGAACAGCAGCGGGTGAAGTGGATGGCCTTCGCAGCCATCAGTCCAAGCACCCTCGGGCTGGGCATAGGATGGTTTGCCCTGGGGTCTCGTAGATTCTCTCTCCATGTCTCAGAGGAAACAGGGTAGCTTAAACAGCCTGGGATGGACCGGGGAAATATTTGGGCCTCCAGAGAACTTCAAACACCATTAATTCCTCTTTCAGTCAACAAATATCCATCAAACACATGATTTGTACCCAAAATTGGGCTGGGCCCTAAGAATACAAAAGAGAGGCAGCCCCATCCTTCAACTAATCAGTGCTTAAGCACCTTCAATGTCCCTGCACCAATTTACTGAGCGATGCTCATTCTACCAGGTAAAAATTCATCTCTGGATCACAGTGCTTGGCAGAAATTAGGTGCACAAAAAACAAGTCGCAATCCAGGCTCTCAGAGTTTTTCGCTAGTGGACTTTCTAAAGCCTCCTGGTTTTCATTTGAATGCCTCAGGTGAGGGAGGATGACCTCTTCATATAGAAGAGTGAAATCTACACCTCTGTCGATGTAGATAGCATCACCCTTATTTTACAAGTGAGAAAAGATTTTGGAATGTTCAGCTATTCTTAGTAGTTCAGTTACCACTTGATAAACAGCCTCCACTCAATTCTCTGATAAATGAACAAGCTAAGCTATTTGGATCTCAGGACAAAAAATAATAATAATATTTTGAAATATTGGAAAAGGATACAGAATGGTTTGGTTATACTCCAAAATAATAATATTACTCTCTAAGTTTGGGATTGTGGATGATCTGTTTTCTTTTTTGTTTGTTTTCAATTTTTGTTCACTAATGTTTTTTCTATCTGCATTTTATTCTTTAAATTATATGGCTTTTTTCTTATAAGATTGTTTTTTAAGTTGTATGTAGGATAAATTAAAATATTTGCTAATAAATATGTATGGATACTTAAATAAAATGATTTATTATAAGTTACAAAAAAAAGAGGTCTAGAGCTGTTTCTCTAATATTAATATTAGCAGTAGCATTTATTGAATGACTAATATGGTTCAGGCACTGTGCTAAAACTTGATAGACATAAGAATTTTGAAATATTAGTAATTATTGATATCGGTATGATTTTACAACCCATACCATTTTTTTTAGGCTCTCCTGCCTCCAATTTTATTGACCACCTACACAGCGTCCTCCCCAATGTTCTTCTACTTCTGTGTCAATCTCTTCATTTCTGTGACCCTCCTGTCTCCAAGTCCTTTTCATGGGAGTATAAACTCAAATGCAATGTTTTATGTAAAATCTCTCCAAAGATTAGCTTCCATTATTTTAGAACAAAATCAATTATATACTTGTAGTGGATTGTAAGCTCAGAATTTTATTTATTGATTAAACAAAGACCCAACCAGGCCTTCAGGGGAAAATTGCATGGCCAAGTTTGTTTTCTGTTTGTTTTGTTTTATTTAACTCATTCTCCAAATAGGCTACAATGCACATAGCTGTTTCCCAATGCTCTTTTTTAAGTAGGGGTTTTTAAATATTCAAGCAAGGCACTCAGAGTTGAAATATAATAAATCAGTTGCCACAATATAATGAAAAATTCATAATCACTGAAGACTATTATGTACACTACACAAGCTGATAGGAAATGCTGCTAATGGTTATTTTCTCCTCTCAAATATGTTATTGTTTCAGTCGTGTTGAAAAGATAGCTGTGGCCATTTCAATAAGTCTCTATGTATTGCTCTGCTGTAATTTAAAATATAGTTTTTAAAGTCTTTTTTTTTAATTTTTTTTACAATAGCTCTTTCAGCCTTCTCTTGGTTAGGATTTGCCTGGTCTACAGTTTCCCATGCTCTTGTTAGCGATCTCTTTGTCATTATATTTTAGATGAGTAATTAGCACATCCACATAACTGGAATGTTTAAACCAATCTGCATCTGATTTTTAAATGCTAAGTTTACACTTTTGATATTTATTATGATTACTAATATTTTGGATTCATTCTTATATTATTTTTTGCCTCCTTTTTGCCCTGCTTTTTACTGACTTTTGGCTTCTTTTCCTGCCAGATATTAGGTTCATCTCTTCTTTATTCTTGTCTTTCTAGGAAGTTATGCTCTTCTTCCATTGGGTTTAAATAAAAACATACTTGCATTTGAAAGCTCTGAAGTTCACATCCTCTTCCCAAACAATACAGGAAACTTTTAAAATTTTAAGAGGAGAGCAGTTTTTAGCATTATTCCTATTTTTAAGGTTCTGTCTTCTCTTTTAAAGAATCTTTTACTGAGGCATGATTTTGTAGCATCAGACATTAGTCATTTGAAAAATAATGATTCACAGACTCAAGCAGATCTTTCCAATGTTAACATAGTTTCTGATGAAATAATTTTTTTTTAAATCACATTGCTAACACCACCAATCTCATCAAGTCTGACTGTTGGGATGCTGTTGTGTTAAGATGGCAGATAAAAGTTTTTCCAAATTCCAATCTGCATTTGAAAAGTCTAACTTTATAACTGGCAACAAATACTGCCCATTGTTTTCCATGAAGTAACAGGCTCACTTGGTTCATTTTTAATCAACACCTGCCAAATGCCCGAGTCTGAATAGCCATAGTTTGTCAGTCATTTTTCAGATTTAAAAAGTGGTATTCCATTAAAACAAAATGTGATTCTTTCAAGTTAAAAAAAAAAAAGTTTTTCCTGAGTTAGGAATGAACTTAGCTTGTTTAAGAAACTAAAGAAGTTCATTACAGCCAGACTAGAGCAAATGATGGATGAATGGATGGATGGATAGATGGATGGATGGATGGATGGATGGATGGATGGATGGATGGATGGATGGATGGATGGATGGATGGATGGATGGATGGGTGGGTGGATGGATGGATGGATGGATGGATGGATGGATGGATGGGTGGATGGATGGATGAAAAGAGAAAGATTATTTGGGGCTTTACTGCCAAAAGTAAAACATTTGGGTTTTCTGTCAGGTGTAAAGAGAATCATGGAAGGGTTTTCACTGGGGGAGTAGCAAAGTCAGAATTACATTTTTAAAAGATGACTCTGGATGGCCTGGGGGAGGGGGGGGCACCAAAAGTTGAAGCAAGAGAACAGCCCAGAGGAGACTGCTGTCCAGAGTGAGGTGACGGTGGTGGAGACCATGAAGTTTACCACAGACACAGGAAGGCGTGACGGGCTCCAGCTCCGGGCCGGAGGGAGGCAATCTAGGACAGTAACAAAGTCATTTAACTGTGAATTCTCTTTTCCCAGATCATAAAGAAAGCACGCAGACCCACCCTCTTCAGAGAAGTCAGTTTCCAGCCAGCTACAGCCCTCAGGAAAATTCACTTCACTATAAAAACACGAGCTGGAGAAAACCTTTCTCTGTAAGGTCTGATGAAAAGGTAAAGGAGACACACCTCTGCATTGTCTTTCTAGATAAACTTAGGGTCTGACTAGGGCTTTTTTGAACAATGCCTCAAAGGAAATCATAATTTACTTTAATTCTTTCCCCTTCTGGCTACATACTATTGGATTTTAATATTTTCAAAAGTGTTTTTCTGTGCATTTTATACTGCCCTTTCATCAGGTTCTTTAACGTGCACACAGCAGTCCCCCCAATTCACAGGGGATGCATTCCAAGACCCCCCATGGATGCCCGAAACCATGAAAGTACCAAACCCTAGATAGACTGTTTTTTTCCTATACATACAATCCTATAATAAAGTTTAACTTATAAATTTGGCAGAGAAACAACAATAAATTCTGAGAAAAACAATAATAATGAAACAGAAAAATTATAACAATATACTCGTACTGTATAAAAGGTAAAGCAATTTCTTCCAAAGGAGACCTCAAATAAGAGATGACTTTGAGCCCAATCTTGATGGAAGAGAATGGCAGAGCTGGGCAGGAGGAGAGGGGGAGGGGCAGCAGAGCCAGCCCCCGCCAAGCCCTGAAGCTGGGTGTGTCCACAGAACAGTCCAGCACAACTGGCTGGCCAGACCCGTGTCCTCAGGCTGTGTGGTGACAGGAAGTGCCGCCTCCGAGTTAGGTGCAAGCTGGCTCTTGGCACTCACCTGTGCCTTGGTGTGCCCATCATTGGAAGGATCGGGTTTGTGCTAGGAGGACCAGAGACTCAGATTGAGAGACCAAGGACCTGATGTCACATCCCTAGGTTTGCCAACCAGGTGATGGGTGTTGACTGAGCCCCCACTGTCTCGATATGCCAGCCTCACAGGGTTGTTGCAGGGCTGGACTGAGGGTGATGGGTGAGGAGGGGCCTTGGATGTGCTGGACTCATGCAGGGGATCATTTAATATTATAATCCTTGGAAACTGCAGAGCCATGGTGCATCTCTCAGTATTTCCTGCTCTCTGTTACGGTGCATGTTATAACAAAAAGAAATCAATTGGTAAAAATAGGTGGCATGACACAAGGAGAAAGCTAGACAGACGGGGGTTCAAATCCCAGTTCCAGTGCATGTGACTTTAGGCAAGTGGCATGAAGATGCTCTCAGCCTGCACCTGTCTATCCCTCCCCACTGTTCTCACGACTAGGGCAGCATAGGCTTCAGAATCAACAATAAACATCCCACCTCAATCAGCTTCGGCAGGTGAAGAATTAGAAAGCATTGATAGCTGGAGGGCTTATTATCCATTCTGAGCATGGCGCCAAAGGGCCTTTCTCAGTAGATGGAGTGAAATTTCTGGGTACTTTCAATGACAGACGGACCCTGTCATGCCAGTTGCACACTTCCTCAGCTGCAGTTACTTTTTCTGTGTCCATCCCAGGCACAGAATTTTCGTACTGCACGTCTACTCTCAATCAAACTGTGACTCGGCAATGCGGGGACAAAAGTGAATTTTCATTCATTAATAAATCACTGGTACCTCCCTTTGACCCTAAAACAGTCATCGTTTAACCTGTCCTGCAGGATGTCCAGCACAACAAATGGTACATTGGAGAGTACAGTCGCCAGGCAGTAGAAGAGGCATTAATGAAGGAGAACAAGGTAATGCCTTCTGTGGGACCATCTCCGCATTGTGTGCATCAATCTGTAATGTGTATGTCAACCCGCAATGTGTACGTCACGTC